AATGAGGCTCTGAGTGAGCTGAGCATTGGGAATGAGCAGCAGTTGACTGAAGCACCCTTCACGCTAAAAATCACACAGGTGAGAGGTACTCAAACACATACTCACTTGTGTAGACACTTGTGGACAAATGGGCTTATACAGTAAAGCATTATTGCCTCTTCACCAGTGGATGTGTGGTTCTTTTCTAATTGATGGAAAAGAGCCCTTTTAGTTCAATTATCATCTCTACCCACAATACGTGTGGGGACTATTTGGTGATTGTGCACATTACATTAGAATACACTGATGCTGATGAACACACTGTGCACATGTGTATTCATCATTTTACCAAATGTCACTGGAAGATCATAAACGCTAACCTCGACTGCTAACCACGGACATACGCGTGTTCCATTATTTCTCTTTTTTTTTTGTGGGGGGGGGCAGGGTGCTCAATGACATTGCACTGCAACTTTAGCAGGGCCCTATTTCAGAAAAAAGGCCTTTACATACCAGACAAGTAAAGTTTTTGCGTATGTTTCATGCATTTGGACTCACCTATGACACCATTTGTATCCAACTACGTGATTTAGCGGCATCAGCTTTTTCAATCAAGCTTAATTTTTCCGATTTTTTGAAAGCGAATAAACAGATCTGAAAATTTCTCTGCCTCCCCAGATGTGGTCCCAATTCTGCCAACAGGAGCCACTGCACCACTGACATCCTGAAATACATACAGAAGCGGTCATGATGCAACTTCGACTCCTGGTTGAAACCATGAATTTCTCCCTGCTGCTACCTTCTTTTGAGAATTGGATGAATCCATAATCTCTGTTTCTTCCTTTTCTTGTTTAGAAACATCAGGACCAGCTCATCATTGCTTTATGCCGACTTCGCTATTTTATTGAGTTATTTGAGGATGAATTTTTCGGGCTTTCGGTGTGTATGTTACAAGAGATGTTTGCAATTGTAAAATTAGTTTCGCAGTGCGCTCAGTGCGTAAAGGTCTTTAAACAAAGATTTTCTCACAGAGTCCCAGTGTTAGACAGATGTAGCCTACAGAGTTTATCCTGAGGTAATAATGAATCTGCAATGTCTGCGATTGTTGTCTCGGTCCTTCCATCGATGAAAGTGATCATGCTAAATGCGTAAAATGATTAACCAACATATAATTTTTCATATGTAAATTTGTGCAAATGAATGTTGAACTGCTTCAGGTGCAGCAGGAGGATGGAGTCAAAAAGAAACTCCAAGTCTGTTTCCCAGGTTGCTTATTCAGACTTTAACTCAGCTCTTTTTGAGGAACATAAAACCCTGAGCTCCTCTAGTCGCAGGGTTAAGAGTTTTCACTAGACCTAAACCTAGAAAGCAGGTTTTGTGAATACTGTGTTTTGCAATACAATGAAATATTGCTAAGAGCACACTGAATGATAAATTAAATACAGTAACAGACTTAACAAGACCGTATTCTTTTCATATCTTTATCTGTTCCTCTGGCAATGTCTCTGAAGTAGGCGGCACTCAGTCGGTCACTTTTGTGAAGTAGAAGAGAGAAACGACATGTCAAATGCCCTCTTTTATGGGAGCCCACACAGAACCTGGAGCAGAAAGCCTGGGTTAACAGAATGCTGTTAACCACCGTAGTGGTACTTGATATCTCTGACGGGGATTTTAGCTTTTTTCAAGCCAGCAAACACAAAGAAAGCCTGGCTATGTTGAGCTTTTTGTAGTACCTCTCTCATTTCTAGAAAAGGGCCCAGGAGAGGAGACAACTTGAAAGTATGTCACACAAAAAGCATTTGGGAGTGTTAGTTTTAAAATGTGTAAATTGAAAATGAACATGAATGAATGCTAAGACTAAACGCTTACCCACTATCTTTCACAAGCTGCAAGACTTGAACCAATGATCACAGGAAGAATTCAACCCTGAAAGCCAAATATAAAGAGTGGTCAAAGTATTATGAATACTTTTTGACATGCAAATATGAAAACTGATATAAGACAATACAATGAAATGCTCAGCTGAGAGGGGGTGGACCTCGTATCTGTAACTCAAATGACCAGAGTGTGCACTTTTCTCTTTTCAGAGCTGCCAGTAATAACTGTACTGCAAGGACCTTTAGTGCAAAGAACCACAAATTTTGCCAAGCATCCCGTTTCACTGCCTTCTTTTATTAGTTACTGTTTCTTTTCTCCAGCTTACATTGTAAAACTCCTTCGTGATGTTTCTAAGGATTCAGTATATGTACAATTCAAATGATTTAATGATCGGCACACTGTGATAAACTGTATCTGACCTCATATCACCTATACTCTGGCGACCTTCTCATTGACGGTGGTTCTCCTCGGATTGCAATTGGAATTGCAATTTATGGCCCCTCGGCTCCGCCGCCACCTCCGGGGGACCCCATTAAATCAGGAAGGTCAGAGGTCAAAAGGTCATCATTGTCTTTCTGATGCTCATAGTGATTGCTGACATCAATGGTAAGGGACTCCCCAAACACCTTTTGTCCCCTTCGTTCATTAAAAATGACACTGTGCCTTTTCATCTCTTCTAAGGGAAGGGAAATTGATGTGTTGGCCTGTTTAATATATTTTAGTTAATGTGATTTGAAAGGGAAAGTGAGCTCGAGAAAGATAAATGAAAAGCCTTCAGTCGCAAATGAGTTAAACACCATTTGAAAAATGTAACAGCTGCTTTCAAAATGACTTTGAAATGAAGGCAAACCTTGATGATTATTTGTTCCATCAGGGTCTCCTTTTCTAAAATAGAAACATGTACAGTGAAATATTCAAGAGTAGATATAATGAAGCAATATTTTATTTAATTTTGCTGCGATATGTGATATACAACTAGATAATTTGCTATTTGGATTTTGCTTGGCTTGACGCTGGAGTGATGTGTCTTAATTTTAATGCAACCTTAAAAAATATTCTCTTGTTGAATACTAAGTTACAGAAAATGTGCCAAATGTTCTGAAAATGAGGAGAAGCAAATGAGAACGGCAGCCAAGGAGATGGGATGATTTTAATAACAATTTAGAGAGGCGGCACACCTGCTTTTTCCAAGAAGAGCTGAGATGGTCTTAAGAAAAGATAAAACAGCAAAGCCAGTCAAACATACTTTTAAACACAGACCAAACGCTGTCAAGACAATAGCCCGCTGGCACCAGTATCTCCCCTAGGGTTATGTATCTGTGATGGTGATTGCTGAGTGGAGTCAGCTGCTCACAAACCACTGGCTCTACAGAAGACAGGGAGGCACCTGAGACAGGAAGGAGGGAAACATACACTCACCCAGCAACCTACAGTTCTGCTGTAGGTTCCCTGCAAGGGAAGTCATGCATTTGGCTAAAACCTCTATAGCTGGTAGTTACACATGTTCATATGAAGAACAGAGAAAAAGCACCATGATAGGCATGAGCAGCAATACCCACCGTGGCTGAGCAAAGACTTTCCTTTTTTTCCATCATGTGATGGCATAAAATCCCTATGCTGGAGATGGACGGGTGACAGATGGCTCCGGGAACAACAAAACCATGTTTAAAAGAGATCTTTTCTTGAGATCAACTATTTTATAATCATCCAGTACAGTTTAAGCTTGGTGCTATTACTTAAAGATCTTGTATATATTACAAAAAGTTCAACACTTAAGCTTTCAAATACAGTGGAAGAAAAAAATAGGTGGAGGAGAGAGCAAAGATTGCTCTAACAGGAAAATTTTACTGTCAGCCATCAGTAGAGGGCACTGTGAGCTTTTTGGTCAGTCCACACACCCCGCCTTCCCCAGCCCAATCCTGCAAGTGGACCAGCCCACTGCCTGGCAAACTGTCTGCTGGTGTAGAAGATTTAAACAAAGAGGGTTAATATCAATCAGCGTGTGTGTAAACACACTCATAGCTCACCTGAGTAATGGAGTGGTGATGAGTCAGCCTTTTTCCTGTATGGGGATGTAAGTCTGTAAGAGAGTGGGCAGGGGAGGAATCTAAGAGACGAGGGTAGCCTACGATAAAAGTGTAGGCATGCTGTGTGTAGCACAAAGAAGTGACCTCACGCACAGTTGCTGGATTTAAGTGTTTATGCAGTTTTTAAAGTAAAATGGATTAATAAACAGATAAATTAATCACTGTTTCTCATAAAATAAACGAGTGGATATAAAAGCAATAAAGAGTAACCCTCCCGTGCCATTTTTGAACCTTGAATAGAGAGAAAAAAAGACTTGCATTTCAAATTAGAAAAGCTGAAATTGTTAAGTATATATTTTTATAACCGGCTATCTCGTGCTCACTTTTATTACAGGATTTTAGAGGCTAAGAATTTATTTGACATGCATTGGTAGAGGAGCTTTCAACATTTTAGACACTATTTAATTTTATAATGAGGCAACACTAAAAAATGTAGTGATTGCACAATATTTGTGCCCATGAATTTGAACTGTGGTCAATTAATGATTAAATGGTGGTTTTGCTCATACGGACAAGCTTTTCTGAATAAAAATGACTCATTTCTAGTGGATAGAAATGTCATAGGCAGACATGGTGAAATATAGAAGGAAATGTGTGATGTTCAGGGCCACACAGGGCCACACAGGGCCTGTCAGACAATAACTTTCACTTTCAAACACCTAAACAACAAACATTTGAGGTGCTGAGGAGAAAAAAGAAAAGAAAAAAGGGGAAAATATCTGCATTTGTCTCACTCACAAATAAGTGAAACCATAGCAGCCAAGACAGGACTGGCAGTGATCATTGAATTTAATCATTTTGCTCTCCTTCTACCTGCTGTCTCTTTGGCATAAATGGGGAACAGATTATCAGTTTTGTAAAAACGAGCAAAAGGTTTTGACCTAGAACGAAAGAAAAAGTCTGATTTATTTGATACAGAATCAATGAATCTGTCAGTTAGCACATTCTCAACTAAACTGTTTTTTCTTCAGAATGTTTTTTTTTAAGATCATTTCATGATGGAAATAAAACAACTTAAACTTAATGAAAATGGCCCATTAGCAACAGCAGACTTGAGCTATGAGCTTGTGATACAACCACACACGTCATGCTCCTGTAGCAGTCATTAGTCATTAGAACTCCAATTTGATGTTATTTAAGAGTTTGTTTGTGAAACACTGTGCTACCCACAAGCTTTGGTGAGTTTTCGTCAATTAGGGATAATGCTGTTGCCATAGAAACGCTCAAGTTGGCATCTACAACGTTAAAAGGTGGCATCAGTGAGCGAACAGCTTTTACAGGAGACTACACTTCACTGTGGCTTGAAGAAGAAGAGGTAGAAGCTGATTAATGTGAGCAATAGATGTGATTGATAGTTTATTCTAACTCATATTTATAATTTCATTTTAGAACCGAGGATTATGAACGTGAGCACATCTCAGCTCTGTCCCCGGAATTTGAATTCATCTGCTTAAATGTGTGATCCTTCAGGGGGGTAGAGTTTCAGCTGGAACAGATTACCCACAGCACAGCATATATCTGGACTCTGTAAATTCAGCATGTCAGCAGCAAGATCATCCCACTGAATATTAGTCTTATCTTATTACATTAGGTAAATGGCACAAACATTTCAGCCCGAAAAGCCCACCATAAAGACGTCAAGCACTATGAATCAAAGTCATACCAGCTCTGAGACAACATTTGTAGGGCAATAAAACATAAAACATGAGCGAAAGAGAGATACAGATATCAGATTTCTACACAAAGACAGAAGTGTATTTTGCAATTTAGCACATAATTGCACTGCTGATTAGGAAAATGCACATTAGATGCACGCATCCAGCACACACGCCACCGGCGTATCTGACTTCTGGCTTGTGTGGGTAGGCGGATTTGCTGGGCATCCTGTTCATCTCACTGTACATTCAATTACAGTCGCCCACAAATTACTTCAAGAATACAAGCCAGCATGAGCCGCCTGCCGCCTCCGCATGTGAATGCACTCCTCCTCCTCCTCGTGCCCCCATCTCGCTTTCTTTCCTTTCCTCTTCTCTTTCTCTTTTGGCATTTCCGCAGACAAATGCCGGACTGTTAGTAGTCTGAGAGTAACTAGCTTTTTGGTTTCCACGGCAATACTTTTTGATCTCTCCAACAGAGTCATGGTGGAAATACATAAGCAGAGAAAATACCCTAAAACAAGCGGCCTCACGTCTTTAAACACCCACTGCTGACGCGTGCTGATGAATCCTGGTTTTTCTGTTTTCTATCTGTGGGCTGTACACTTTGTACAATGCTCACATGTGTGATGCAAACACACATGCATGCATTCATTTTCAACCCAGAAGAATGCACGTAAACACAAGCTCCACGGCAAATATTACACACACCTCCTCTGCTGGTCTGTCAAACACACACAAGCGCACACACACTCACGGAATCTCTCGCTTTCTCTCCCCAACGCACAACAAGGTTGTACTCAGCGTGTGTTCTCTCCATCTTTCTTGTTCCTTCTGTCTCTCTCCAGGGTACACATGATAGCGACTGATGTAGGCAGCAATTTATATCGCTGAAGGAGGCTATGAGAAATACAGATGATATCCCACAAAGGGGGTTTCAAGAGTGGAGGAACGACGTCAATGAAGAAGAGTTGGGTAGAATGAGGTGAGGGGGTGGGGGTCCTGAGAGCTTGATATAAGACTGTAGTGTCATTCCAGTGGTGACTCAAGAGACATCTGCAATCCACTTTAGAGCACTTTGCCCTATTTTCTTCCTCTTTGCTTTTTACAGCCTTCTGGTGAAAGGGCTCAGCTAGGCACTGCATTATATTGTACTCAAAGCTAAATTTAACCATATATTGGCAAGAAATCTGACATTTTTTGTGTGTTGCCAAGAATTTCTCTATAAAAGAGTCAGCGAGTTGACAAGAGAAATAAATTTGTACTTAATTGTGGCATCTTAAAAGGTAATAAAAGAAACAGAACTAATGAGCGACGACCTTTGACGGCCCACTGCAGTCTAAGGCTAAGAAGAGACGGCTTGATTGGCTTAAATGTTGAAGCAGTTAAGTAATGGTGAACAAGCATTGTCTTAGTCTCCTCCTGCCTATAATATATCTATTCCCCTGCACTCTGCTGTGGTCAGTCATTAGCATTGTCCCAGCCATTGATGAAACATTCCAGCAATCAGTGTTCTCATGTTGCACAATAATATATATATTATTTTCAGCTTTTTCTTTTGTATATATATATATTAGTAGAACAAATGAACTCTTGAATATATCTTGAATTATCACTGACTTTACGTTTAAAACATTAGTCAGTGAAAGTATGAAGATAAAACAAATATAATGATAGTATGTGTTCGTTGGCTATACTTCCCCTTTGATTATTAAAAAATAAGACAACTGGATAAGTGCTTTTGATCTATAGAGTCAACTGTATTGCAAAATTCACAATCACTGTAGACAGATTGTCCCAGAGTCCACAGTCACCTTAGAGTCTTACTGCAGACTCCCAGTAGGATTGTAGACTGCCAGTCATCTGTCAATGTGGCCACCACAATATCATAGTAAGTTTAAAGGAGAAGCAGTTGGTAGCCAGACAATATTTCCATAAAATTGGATTTCATTAAAGCAAAGTTTAAAGTAAAAGATCATCTTTGACAAATGTTTCTGTGGATCTTAATATTTCTTCAATCTTTTAATATATTGCATAAAAAAGTTGTTCAGTAACTCTTTTCTTTAATGTCAGGTGTGTTTCCAGAACCACTGCTTTAATTAAACCTATATTGAAAAAGGACAATCTTGACAAGACACAAATGAACAACTACAGGCC